TCCCCTGCATCGGCAGGCGGACTCTCAACCACTGCACCACCAGGGAAGCCCCAAATTATTAATAACCATCAACAGCTGAGTGTATATCCTGACAATTCTTCAGACATTCCAGGCAAGATGAAAGACAGCCCTTTTTTAAAAAATCCCACCAATTACTTCTATTTACATATGAACTTTGATAATTTCCCTGCTGTTCTAGATATCTTTATCTTCAAAACTCTTACCTGTATTAGCCATTCATAAAAACTTCTAGCATTTGGTCTTTACTCTGTAAGAGACACTATATTATACACTTGATATGATTTTCCCGTATATTTCTAACCCCTAAGGTAGATTCTTTTACTATCTGTACTTTACAGATGAGCAAAATGAGGTATCAGAGCTTAAAAAAAAAAACTGGATAGGTATTGAAATCCGTATTTGTCTGATCCAAAGTCACTTAGCCAACACATTCTCTCCTCTCTTCTCTAGAAATCTCACACTGGAACCACTCCTAATAGGTTTTTAGAAATATTCCAGCAAAGTATAGATCACTGAAAAAAAAAAGGGGGGGGGAGCTGAGGGGAGACAAATGTTAACTATCGTGTAAGTTCAGGCAGTTAAAACACACACTCCCCAGTCTCCAGAATTCCTGGTTTTCACCCGAATTCTTTGGTCTGGCCTGCCATTCCACTGTAGAGCTGCCACCTGTCCCCGCATCATGGGTGGTGAAGCCCACACAGAGGGGTTTGGGCTTCTGGCCTTCTTGTTCTCCCCACCACTGGCAAATTGAAGGCCAACAAATAGAGCTGAAATCCTGATTTACAGTGAGCTATAACATGCACCTTTTCTTTCTTTGCTCTTTAAAATTAGCACTGTTCATTCTCTCCTTCAATTGGTATGCATATCTCAGAAATGCTGGGCAGAAATTTCCACGTGCCATTGGTAATAACGAAAGCTAACTTGAAGCACTGACCATGTTCTTAGTACTCTACAGAGTGCTCTGCAGGATCATCTCACAAGAACCCTGAGGTGAACACCATGAGTCACCTAATTCTACAGATGAGGAAACAGAAAGTTGAAGAGTCAAGACAAGTTATACAGTTTGTAAGCAGGGAAGCTAGGAATCAAACCCAGGTGGGTCTCCAAAGCCAAGGATATAGACATATAGGGTGCTCAGTGCCTCCAAAGGACTCTCCCCAAACTGAAGGCAGAGAGTTCACATCTTCAGCAGAGAAAGGCTGCAGAGTGCTGGCGATGGAAGAGTCCCGGGTGGTCACAGACGTCCCTGCCTCAAAATGTATTTCATTATTAAAGTCGGTAAGTTTTCATTACTACAGCATTGCCCCATTTTCTTCTCTCCTGCACCCACCAAGAGACAAGAAAAGAAAAAGATTCTCTATTATGAACACATTAAAAACTGTCCAGTGGAATTTCAAACCCAGGCCTCCAGAGCACCACAAACAAACAAAACCCTTATTCCCATTTCGTCAGCTTCTCACTCAGATCCCAGGACTTGAACAATCAGATCTAAGATCAAAATGGTTCCTCAGCTCTCAACCTAATGCACGTGTGCTCAGGGAAAGCATGGAGGTGACTGGTGGGCACCTTCTGAGACCATAGAAAAGGCCAAAAGGTAAGGGGTGTGTCTCTCAGGCAGAGGCAAAAAGTCCCCACCGGCCAAGCCACTTTGTGCCCCTGCCCAAGTGGCATCTACCTCCACCCCTGCCCTCACCCCTGCCCTACCTCCCAAGGCTTTCCGATTACCCCCCAGTCATTCTCCTGAAGCTGAACAAGGAAACAAGACACACAACTGAAACACAGCAGGTTGGCTTAGGCTATTTCTGGTTTCTATTCTGGAGAAGGTCTCAGCACGATGGAGAACATATTTCATCTAAGACCAGGAACACCCTCCTTTTCGCTTCTACTTGTAAACAGCTGCTCTCTCTCTCTCTCTCTCATTTTTTGATAAGTAACCTCTTGAGGATACTTCTATCTGCTCAATGGTTATTTAGAGATAATACTATTTAATTCAAATCCTGCTGCCCAGGATGAAGACTGTACAGCTAATCCATTTAAAGTATGTTTTCTTGGGATTCCCTGGCGGTCCAGTGGTTAGGACTCAGCGCTTTCACTGCTGGGGCCCAGGTTCAATCCCTGGTCAGGGAACTAAGATTCTGCAAGCCATGTGGTGTGGCAAATAAATAAATAAATAAAGTATGTTTTCTCCCTACCTCATTTAATAATGCATTTTTTAGGATTAAAAATTAACATGTGCTCTTTTTAAAAAAAAAAATTGTAAAACAGTACAGATTAAAGGTAAAAGTAAAAGTTCTCTCTCCACCCCAATTCCTAAGAATAGCCAATGGTAGTAGCTGCTGTCCTCATCCTCTCAGGCATGTTTATGCATATACAAAGACACATACTCAAAAAGAGGCTTCATTCATTCTAAAATTAGGGTGTTACACACACAGGTTCTACAAGGTGCTTTTTGCAGCCAGCACGTTTCATTGACACTCCTCCACCTCTATCCATACAGAACAGCCTGCGTCTCTAATAGATGCATTGCTCCTATTCTCCTCCCATTACCAGGAAAACTGTAATGAACTCTTTTATTTTCCTGGTATAGCTCTTCCCTGGGCACACACAGCTTGCTTGATTGAATCCATATTTTTGGATTGTTTATCTATCTATCTATCTCTCTATATATATATTTTAACTAAACAGTGTGTACAGAGAAACATATGAGTAATGAGTTCTGGGAGAATTTCTCATCTTTATGACGCTGACTCTCTTCTGTTACTTCAGATATTAACAAGAGTGCCTCAGAAAGACCTTCTCTGCCCAAACTCTAAACCAGCATCCCAAGTCACCACTACCCCCTTACCAGCTTCATTTTTCATCATAGCACTCTCACACCCTAACATAATATTATTTATGTGTTTGTTTGTTGATTCATAATCTCTCCAACTTCAGTGTAAGCTCATCAAGGGCAGAGACGTTGCTGTTATGTCCTAGCGCCTAGAAAACTTCATAGTAAATAGTTCATGGTAAATAGTAAGTCCAAAAAATATTTACTTGATAAATAACCATATAAGAATAACACAATGGGGCTTCCCTGGTGGCGCAGTGGTTGAGAGTCCGCCTGCCGATGCAGGGGTCCGGGAGGATCCCACGTGCCGCGGAGCGGCTGGGCCCGTGAGCCATGGCCACTGGGCCTGCGCATCCGGAGCCTGTGCTCTGCAACGGGAGAGGCCACAACAGTGAGAGGCCCGCGTACAGCAAAAAAAAAAAAGAATAACACAATGGATATTAAAATGCATCCCTTCCTGAAATACTGGATTTCCAGCTTAAAGGG